TGGCAATGACTGAGAAGATCTTTACGTTGTGGTAAAGAGCTCTATAAAAAGATGGATGCAGTGTGATTTGCTATAAGAAAACTATGCCTGCTGTAAGAAAAAGGCAAATTCCATGCTGAATATAATTGGAGAGTACAAATAAAACTGCTGGCAACAGCCCTTATACTGTACAAATCCATAGGACAAGCAGAGCTAGAATGCTCTGTACAGTTCTGGCCCCCATATCTAAAAAATAATGCTGTAGTGCTAGGAAAGATACAGGAAAGGGCAGTCAGAATGATCAGGGCGTGCAGCAACTCCTCATGAAGAAAGGTTGCAGCAATTGAGGTTTTTTAGCTTAGAAAAGGAAGGGGTATGGTATGATGAAAGAGTTGGAACTTTATTTGGAACCTCACATGCTTCATGTGGGAGGGATTCTGGATTGAGGTGATTATCTGTTCAGCACTAATCAATTGTTCTTTCAGTTCTTTCCAGTCAAAGAGAGCCTCACCTCTCTGCTGAGTGCTTATTTCCTCTCTCTTTAATCTGTTGGTGGCAGTTGTTTGTTTGATGTTGATCTGTTTGGTTTATTGCTACATATGTGTACAGTAAAGAAAACAGCATACAGTAGCCTCCCCCTCCATCCATGAGATCTGTATCAGCTGATTCACTTATTTGTTGCCTGAAAATAAGTAACACCCCCCCAAAAATACGGATTTATATGTATTTCCAGGGTGTAATTACCAGAACTGGCCACTAGAGGGACTCAGAGGCAATGCAATATATAGCATTCAATACTTCTGCGGTTTTTTGGCATCTGTGGGGGACTTGGAACCAAGAGTGGTCATAATTGACCAGATAGGCACAAAAGTCTGTAATATCAAGCAACTGTAAGTGAAGAAATGTTTTTATTCTTTCTTCCAAAACTATCTCAGAGTGAGTTATTGAGATTTTAAGTGCTAGTTAACGAGAAAAGGGTGGACTCTGGGGAATTCAAAACTCTGCAAAAGAAAGAAAATAGGAAAATGCTTTCCTCTCTATCTCACAATATTGAAACCAATGCTCATTTGTGCCCAATGATGGGCATTTTGGAATAGTTAAAGGGAATACTTCTTCACATGATGCATAATTAAACTGTGGAATTTACTGCCACCGGATGTCATGGTGACTGCCAAACTGGATAGCTTTAAAAGGTAGTTAGATAAATTACTGAGGTAGAATTGTTAATTTATTCTACTTGCACAATATTGTGCACTTGAACTAGTGGCATGACATTTACAGAACTTGCACAAGGATTCATCCAGCCCTTCCTTGAGCAAGTAGAAGCCCTGTTGGATTCTGGGTCAACCGGATTCTGCCTACTGAGGTTATAACTGTTAATGGCTAACTAATCAGGATGGCTATATATAACCTCCCGTATGAGAAACAACACACCCATATATGTTGATTGCTGGGGAATTTTATTTATTGCATTTATTTATTTAAAATATTTTTACCCCACCTTTCTTCTTGAGAAAGACCCAAGGCAACTTACAACAATGAAAGAGAGTATTTAAAGTTGAAAACAAGGAGTATACAACGTTGGATTAACATCATTAAAAGATAATATTTAAAACCATGAACAATGAATAAGGAGACATCTTACGTAATTAACAGGCAATAATAAGGTAAAGATCAATGGGTACACAATTTTTTTAAAAAAAGTATACGCTTTTTAAATGTCACTCTGAGAAAGGGAAAACCCTCAAATGGAAAACACAAGTAGTACTAAAAATCCTGTCAAAGCAGTAATGCATAACACAATCTATCTAAAAATCACACACAGGTAGCTGGTTACTGAGGGAAGGCTTGCCTGAGGAGCAAGGTCTTTGTGTGCTTGCAGTGGGACAACAGACACTTTTGCTCTCATGTCCTGCTCATTGACCTCTGCATTCGCATAATTTTGAGCTAGATATGCCTCTGATCCAGCATGGCTCTCCTTATTTTCTTATTTTAAGGTCTGATATGAAAGAGCAGACAGATGTGTTGGCTTTGGACCTGGGAAAGCTAGGTTTGGTTAACCTCTAACAGTGTGATGCTCTGCAGCTCCACATGTTTGCTTGAAAGAAAGACCAGTTGTGTTCCATGGGGCTTACTCCTTAGCTAGCCTTAATGTTTTGTTCCTCTCTCAGATATAAGTTCTCCCCCCTTTTTGAAACAATTACTACAGATATTATCTTTCCCTTCAAGGTTGGAATGAGAGAATGAAGGTTGTGCACAGAGAGTATAGTATAAGCAGTCTTTGGATAGGGTAAGTCTGTGAGTACACGGTGTTGAAGTGAACTGTTAATATTTATTTATTCAAGGTAAGGAGCAGGCACAGGAAGAATGCTTGTACACACTTAAAGCTGAGAAGGGAAATGTGGCCCTCCAAATATATTAGACAGCAAATCCTTTCTTTCATAATTTTCCTTACAGGCTGGGAATGATGATGGGGGTAGTTTGCCAAAAACATTTGCAGAGACGAAGTTGCCCACACCACTTTAAGCTAAGGACTGATTATCCAATAAGTATGCTAGAGCCTTCTGTTCATTTAACAATCCCTTCTAATCAGAAGGGTACAGAAACATGTTTTCTAGAGCTTGGGAAAAGAAGTACCCTTCTCCTTTCAACAACACTGGGGCTAGGGGCGCAGGATTCACATGTAATTCAAAATCCATGTATAACTCTTATGTCCCCCAAAACGTAACAACAAATCATAAACAGATGCTTAACATATATGGGGAAAACAGAGGCACAGTCTCTCTTCCTCCCTCACAGCAGAGCAGCACAGCGCTATGATCTTCCCTGAACCCGTGTCAGCCTCCCGGCATGCCCCAGCACCCTCCCCAGTTAACCACATGGAGCTGCCATGCCAGGAGATGGGGCCAGCTGGGCTGCCACCATCAAACTGGGAACTTCTCTGCTGCCAACAACAGGGACCTTGGTATGTCCGAGACTCACGTTTCTCAGGCCACTTCCTAGAGAAGAATAGCAGCACAATATTTATTGAACAGAGGACCCTCAAGGTGCAGTAGTTAAACTGCAGTACTGCAGTGAAGACTCTGCTCACAATCTGAGTTCAATCCTGGGCTCAGGTAGCCGGCTTGAGGTTGTCACAACCTTCTATCCTTCTGAGGTCTATAAATTGAGTACCCAGTTCACTGGGAGAGGGCAATGTGTAACCTGCGTAATTAAATTGTAAATGCCCAAAGAGAGCTTTGAGCACTATAGGGCAATATATAAGTGGCACACTTTGCTTTTTGCTTTATTGAATACTTATTGATTGATTGATTGTTTTTTAATGTATAACCAAAACTATGGTGCTCAAACCTGTGCAATTAAAGGGAGAACTGGAGTCCCAAAAAGTGGTCTCAGTTCCTGCCCAGTGCAGGAGTTGGACTTGATGGCCTTTATAAGCCCCTTCAATTATTTATTTGTTTGTTTGTTTATTGAATTTATATCCTGTACCATCTGGCAACCAGGCCACTCTGGGTGGTATTAGGAACAATATTAAAACAGGATAAAAAAATTAGTACTATTTAATAGAATTAATTAATTCTATGATTCTTTGAAAGTACAGTAATTTTTCCCAAACTGAAATGCTAATGGTTTGTGTCAGTTGATGCAACCCAGTACATCACAAATACTGGGGAAATTTGCACATGCATGCAAACTGTCATTTTCAAATAAATGTCTTATTTTCAATAAACTACTTGAAGCCTGTGTCCGCTGCCAGTTCTGCGCTTCTTCAAGCTCTGCCTTAGAAGGTCTTCAGGTTCACTGCTGTTGCTATAACCCCTGTCTTTGCTATAACATGGGAGCCCCTAGCCATCTTGAGGTCTAGAAGCTTGTTTGGAGGAGGGAGCAAAAGATAAGAGTGGCTGAGAAAGAGTAGCAGTTCTCATGAAAGGATCAAATCCGAGCTCAGAGTTATACCTTTTCTTGCTGCTCTCTTGCTGATAATTCTATGAAAGGAATTCTGAGTTGCCAAACAATGGACCCAGAGTAGCCCAGGTATGATTGGCAGCTGCCAGGGTTGCCTGGGGGAAATGATTACAACAAAGAAACTACACTGAGCTTATTCTTCCATCTCCTTCTCTCTCACGCCCATCACCCCTTCCAATTTTCTTTTCTGATGAAATTGTCTCTTGCAGTGAAATCGATATCTATTTCCATCTGGGTATGGCATCTTGAAGGCAGATCGGTAAAGCTTTCACTAATTCTCATTTGTGCGCTTTCTCTCTTTCTTCCTCTCCAGGTTTTAAATGCATTTTCCCAAGTATGCACTCTGCATTCTTTTGTCTTTTTTTGCAACCTTACAGCTTAGTGTTTGGGACAGAAGAAAGATCTAGATATGCACCTTCAGATAAGGTGATTTGAGCACATTGCTAACTTGTCAAGACACAGGCAAAGATAAGAAACTCGATACACACATTCACGCGTGTGCTGTGCACAAAGATTATTCCTGTTTTACCGAACAAGAGGACTGAGGCTGGCAGGAGTGACTTGCTGAAGGCTATTGTAGAACTCGAGTATCATGGCTCTAAGCTTTTGAGTCTCATCTATTTATCTCCTGGGTCGCAAACGTATGTTAGGAGACCATCAAGATTTGTGGCTGCAACAGTTTTAGGGTTGCCCTTTTTATAAGTTTGCCTCGCAACCCAGCTGTGGAATTACGCACGAGGAGACGGGGCGGAGAGAGCGAGCGATCATTGTCTTTGTGCTGTGGCCACTCGGGTTCTGCTGCCTGCACCGGACCTGGCAGCAGCATACGGCAATAATTATGCACCGCCCTTGTATTATCATCATCATCATCATCATCATCATGATATCCTCCTGGCATTTCTGTTAGTCACCCATCTCTGAATAAAAAGTAGGGGTCTTTTAAGAGTCTCCCCCAGCACATTAATCTGTCATGAGCTAATGTGTTTTGCCCATTCTGTTCCTTTGTACTATAGCCAAGGAGTGCGCGCATACACATACACACGCACATGCACACACACTCTTTCACTCACTCACCCGCGCTCTCTTGTTGCACTTCTGCCACCGATCTCTGATGGTTGGTTGGGCCTGAGTCAGTCAGCCCGCGAGAGAGCGAGAGAGAGAGACACGACAGACAGAACAGACGGAGGCAGAGGAACAAAGCCGAGACAACAATGGGAAATACACCGTCTCAAGGCATGTCAATGTTCATCCATTCTTAAGTAGCAGGTATTTTTTTTATTGGTGTTTTTTTTTTCAAATTTTCCTTTTCTCTTTTCCCAACCCACCAGCACCGTATGATGATGCTTCTGCTGCTTTGGCTTGTGCCGTTAGCTGACGATTTCGGGGTTTGCTTTGAATCTAAACAAATGAATACAAAAATTGACAATGTATTCTTTCTAAAGGGAAAAAAGGGGGTGTGGTGGGGTAAGGGAGGCTCCCCCCTGCCCCTTGTGGTGGGGAGGCAAGATAGAATTCCGACGATCAAATCTCCCACTTAAGGGGGCGAAAAGGGGTGGGGGGTGAAGAGGGTTTTAAGATGCAACATGGAATGGTTCTGTGGTCATTGCTTTCTTTCGGTCTTTATAGCCCCCCACCCCACCCCGTTGTTGTCAAGGCTGCTGAGCTCCCGGGAGATTAACTAGATACAAAACCCGCTGCCCTAGAAATATTGCTGAAAATAGGGAGGGGGAGGGGAAGAAAGATGAACAGGTAGATATTGATAGATAGTGGACCCCATTGTTATTTTGGATTTTTTTTTATTTTTTATTTTAGCAACCAGGCTTTGTAAAGATTTGGTAAGATAAGATTTGCCTGCTGATTTCAGTTTGTCAGTGGCCAAGCTGCTGTTCTTGCCGCCCATCCCCACCCTCAACTCCTTAATTTTTCCTGACCATTGAGACTGTTGTTCAATGCTTTGTTAAGTAACGAAGGCTGTAAAAGGGAGCCAGCGGGAGAGAGAAAAGGGAGGAAAGGAGAGGAGAAAAAATGTTGAGGTGCTTTTTTGTTCTTGTTCTCCAGTATCTTGAATGCTGTGGAGAGGGAGAACCTTTTATTTCAGATTACATAGGGAATTTAAGGCTTCTTTGCCTTCTTCTGGGCATCCAAAAATGGGCACTTCTGACAGATCTGGCAAAGGGGACCAAAAATAATGCACTGATTTTTTTTTCTCTCTTATTCACCTTTTGGTGCAGAATAGAGGTTGCTTGTAGGATGTTTGATGATGGTTCAGATATAGTTTCCTGGGAGATTGTTACTATATAAAGAAAGATAGGTTGTGTGCAACTGCATGTGTGTGTTTAAGGCATCTTGGATTTGTGGGATTCTTTTGTGATCCAGCACCGTTACTGTGTACACCCTCAGCTCATGCAACCATCCACCATGTGCCAGTTTCTTTCAAAAGAAGGGCCTGGGCCTGGGTTGTGTGTGTATTTGAGGTTCACAATAATGTTTGGAACAGAAAAGATTTGATAAGGGAGTCCTGTCTCTGAGGTTAGAACTGGGAAGTTTCTATGAAGTCAAGGCTGGAGGAGCCATAGAAGCCGATTGTGCAATATCCTAGGATAACAGAGTTCCGGGAGTATCTACTTCACCTACAGAAATATCTTAGATAGAGAGCGAGCGAGCGAGCTGCACTTTGGAGAGAGAGATGCTCAGAATCAGCTATGTGGCTTCCCAGTTAGGTGACATCTTGCTAAAGGAGATGTGGACTGGAAACTTTTTGATGTACACTCACTGCCCCTTGAAATGGATCTAGATGTAAAGAAGAACTAAAGAAGTAACTGACTTTAAAAATGGAGAATATGCATTAAAAATGGAAAACTAGTATTCAATTCCACTTTTTTTTAATGATTTAGTGTTCACTTACAGTATCTTGCAATGTATAATAAGGTATCTGCGTGAATAGTAGTGATGGTGGTTATTTAAATTCATTTATGGCAGCAGAAATCTTGGGGTGGCCTTGATTGGGATTGTGGGAAAGGAGAGGTTTTTCTTTTAGGATAATAGTGGGGGATCAACAACCTAGTAATAACTTTTGTGGCAAGATGTGTTTGTATTTCATGCATTCCTTATTCTTGAGAGAAGGATGCCGTTTTATCCCGTGTGTGTGATATGACCTCCAAGGCAGGATTGCCCAGTTCCAAAAAAATCTATGCTAACCTATAGTTCTCCTCTTTGTGTGTCTGGCCGTGAACTGCTTGGGCAATTTCGAAGTGTTTTGTTTTGTTTTGTTGGTTTTTTAAAGGAAGTAAATATTATTCTTACAATAAAATAATAGAAGTAGTGACGAAACATAAATCTTTCAGTTTTGAGATGTTCTGATATCTTGGCATAAGAGAGACAGAATACATTTTTAAGGCAAAATTTGCCCTTTTAAATTTGCAGGAGATATACAACATAGCTTAAGGAAGCAAGCAAGCGAACAAAAAAAAAATGAACAAGAAACACACCTGTGTCAGTCTCCCAATCCCCACTGCACATATGTCTTTCTGCATTGCTTGGCTTCTACAATATGAAAGAGGGCTGTGAAACTTTTTGTTTGTTTAAATTCAGAATGTACTTGGAACAAAAAGTAAGACATTTATTTATTAAAGTATTTTAAAAAGATATTTTAGGTCATCTTTTCAGGACAGGTTACTCTCAAGACAGTTGCATTGTAGAGTTTAAAAGGAAGTATTTAAAGGATTTAAATCAGAACAGAAGGAGGTGGAAAGCTCAGTGGAGTCAGCAGGGCAAGTTTATCAAAGAGAAATTTCAAATATTGCTTCTTAAGTATTGTATTAAGTGGAACAAAAGGAGATTCTTCTTCAGTCTGCATGGAGACAACAACCGTACCACTAGGGAGAGTGAGCCAGTTACTTTGGGCAACTAACTTTGAGTATCACAGAGGGGCAAAAGATGGTTAGATTTGTTTTAATATGACTACTTCTTTATATATTATTGCTGAGTTTCAGCTCCTAAGTATGAGGAGATGGGGTTATAGAATTTTCTGGCCTCAAGTGTCAAAATATATTGACCAGGCTTGAGTACCTTTACATGAGATAAGGTGACCTTGTTGATCTGACTCTTGACAGCAAGATGCCTTTGGCCAGCCCTGAATCTGCTCTATTATTCTGTTGATGGCCACCAGTGTACTTTAAAAATGATAGTTAAAGACATGGCAAAATAGTTCTGCATATATTAAGAACAATAATCAAGGGTGGAACGTCCAAGTTCAGAGCCAGGTACCTCCTACATCCAGAACCTCTGGAGTCAGATGTGGTGGTATAGCTCATACAATAAACAAGGCCATGACCCATTCAGACTGCTTGTCAACTGAGCAAGTTCTCACTTTCTTCCCTTCTTAGTAAAACTCTCAGTGAATAGTAGAGATGGAAGATCACTTATCAAATGTTTTGTCCAAGAAGGAGATAAATTGGCAGGAACAGGCAGAAATATGCGAGAGGAAGGAAGTTGGAATATAATGTAAGTCTGGGTTTCAGACATACGCTACGGATCTGAGATAGGTTACCATTTTCCACCCATCCCAGGAACAGGTGACTTATCTAAGGCTGTCTAAATGAGTTAACAACTGAATTGATACAGTGGTGCCTCGCTTAACGATGTTAATTGGTTAAAAGAACATTGCTATGGGAAAACATCGTTAAGCGAAACACCATTTCCCATAGAAATGCATTGAAAACCGGTTAATCCGTTCCAATGGGAACGGATTGCCGTCCTTAAGCGAAAATCCCCATAGGAAACATCGCTAAGTGAAACAATGTTTCCCCCAAGGGAAAGCCATTCAAAAGCACTGAAGCTGGCTTCAGTGCTTTTGAATGGCTTTCCAATGTCTGTTTTCGCTCATTTTTAAGTGTCTTAAAATGTTTGAAACCTGTTTTAAATGCTTGGATTCGGTAGTGCACCTTGTGAAACATCTGCAAACCTAGTTTGGTTTTGTTCTGAGTCTTTGTTAATTTTTGGTGATTTTATGTTTTCCCCATTTTTGTTTTCCCCATTTAAATCCATTGAACGGACAGTTCAATGGATTTAAAGGGGAAAAACAAAAAATCACCAAAAATTAACAAAGACTGAGAACAGAGCCAAATTAAGTTTGCAGAGGTTTCACAAGGTTGACTACCAATTCCAAGCATTTCGAACAGGTTTCAAACATTTTAAGACACTTTTAAATGAGCAAACACAGACATCGTTAAGTGAAATTCCCCCATAGAGAACATTGTTAAACGATGGGGAAATTTCCTCAAAGAAACCCATCCCAAAGCGAATACATTGTTAAACGAAGCAATCGCTAAGTGAGGCACCACAGTATTTATTTATTATTTATTTAACTTATATGCCGCCCACACTACCCAAAGGTCTCCGGGCGGTGATAAAGTTCCCACTATGCTGACATAATTTCCAGGCCTGCTTGTGATTTTTATGCCACTAAAATGAATACTAGGTTAGAACTGGACTAGACTAGTCTGACTCATCACAGCTATTGCTCTGCTAAACTTGAGGTATGGGATTTTTAGTTTGCATGGAATACAGGGTCCACAGTATGCAAGAACTAGAAGAATAGGGAGAAAGAGCGATGATGGAGGGGTGTGCTTTAAAGCCAACTCCGTTCAGGGTGGCTTTTTAAAAAACAGCTGGATTATTTTTGTCCTCCTTGCTGAGGGCTGGAGATTGACTTGGAGGTGGTCAGTGAGGACAGTCTGCAGTTGCCTAGCAACCTCTAGAAAGTAGGGAAGGAGTAGTAGAGGTGTTAAAGAGGGCGAAGGAAAAGGCCTGTTAGCATGCAACTAAGGAGTCATATCTGGGCTGGGGCTGGGCTGTAAAAATCAATTCCATTCATGGTGGTTTAATGGCAAGCCCCACCCTTTGGCCAAGAAATCCAGCAACTGAATGTGTCTCACCTTCCCCTTATTCTTTGAAATAGAGAGATTCATACTGGAACACTAACTCTTGCTTCTCTTCCATAACACAGTGCCTGTCTGGTAGGTAGGTGATGAGGAAGCTGTTTTACACTTCCCCTTGAGCCATTAACACCTCATTTGTTAATTGCCTGTGAGTCCCCTTGGCTTCCTTTTAAAGTACATTAGGATTGATTGAACAGCATGGATATATAATGTGTAGTTATTTCTCTTAAAGATTGGCATACTAAGCATCATCCAGCACATCCTCTTTATTTTGTTGTAACATAGTGTATATATTGGTGAAAAGAACAGATCTTTGAGAACAGTTCC